AAGGAAAGTTCAAGAAACCAGCAAAAAGCTCTTGGATGTGAAGGTGCAGCCCAAGTGGTAAAGCACCAGTTGTGAGCAAAAAAAGCCAAGCAAGAGCACAAGGCCTAGCACCAGCATCAGTGAGAGTGACAGAGACAGAGAGACAGAGATCGAGAGACAGAGAGACAGAGATAGAGACAGAGAGTCCAGATTCCTCCAAGTTGATCAGGCCTCAGAGCTGGGGAGCTGATGGTTACACAGGTGGCTTCCAATACCAAAATACATAAATGCATTTACAACTTTGTTGTTTGAGCATCTTCCACTAAGAGGAGTTGCAGTACCACAGGAAATAGGGCTAGGTGATGGAGCTCATCTTCGCCACACAATTCCAACTCCTGGGGGGCCCTGGAGTGTGAGGTCATAGGTTTGGTGTTAAAAAAAAAAAGCAGAGTAAACTCCTGGTCTTATCCAGTCATTGGTCGGAGAATCTGGAAGTTTCGGGAATTTTCTGGAAGTCTTTAGAATGCGTGAGCACTGATGAGTCTTTAGAGTGGATCTGAGCACTCCTGGGTGGAGCACGTGCTATAGCATGAGGGACTTGTGTGTTGAAGGTAAAGATGCTCAGATCCGAGAGACAGGCACCAAAAACCAGTGGGTGGCCATTTTTTCCTCCAGCCAGTGGCTGCTGGTTGGCCTGGGAAGCTGTACTTGGAGCCAAGATGGCAGATGTTATTCTTTTCTCTTTTTCCTTTTATTTCCGGTCAGTCATGAGGTTTGAACTCAGGGCCTGGGCCCTGTCCCTGAGCTCTTTTGCTCAAAGATAGTGCTCTTACCACTTATGCCACAGCTCCACTTCCAGTGTTCTGGTGCTTACTTGGAGATCAGAGTCTCATGGACTTTCCTGTCTAGGGTTGAGTTCAAACCATGATCCTCAGATCTCAGTCTTCCGAGTAGCTAGAATTACAGGTGTGAGCTTTTGCATGATATTTTTATTACAGTAGGTCTTAGTTTAAATAAGATTAATTAGACTTTGCCCGAGAACCATGCAGACATCCAGGTACAAAGAACAAAAGAAAGGCTTATTGCTGGGAAAGGGAGCTGGCAAGATTCCTTCTCACAAGGGAGGAATGAGAAGAAGCACCAGCTATTGTCTGGGGGGACCTAGGAGGTCTGGGAGAGCTAGAAGGGGCCAGGAGGCAGAGACCCTGGTGTGGACGTGTGGGCCAGGGGCTTCATCATGGCAGACTAGGATTTATGGCTGCTGTCCAAATAGTAAATAATGGTCCCTACAGCTGTCCAGACCTGAAGGTCACTCTAAGGGGCTCTTGTTGTCTTATATGGTGGTAGCTGCCCCAGAGAAGTGCCATCCCAAGGTAGAGGGGTTGGAAGTTCATTATTTACTGCCTTTACTACAGGGGCCTGATGTTGCCTAGGAAGGGAACATGCTAAGCTGTGGAGAGGGGAAGGAGTGGACTAAGCTATGGGAAGGACTCACTTGGCTAACAGTAGGATTGAATTCTTTAAGTATTAGGTGATGTACAGAGGGGTTACAGTTACTTGTCAAGTAAAGACTCCATTTCTTTTTGGGCAATAATCCCCCTTGCTTCGGTTTTTGCCTCCGATTTAAAATATTAATACAATTTTTAGGCCCCAAACATAAATCACAATGGAATAATTAATAGGATTTTGGTAGGTACATACGATTATCATAGGATGCACTTAATTAAATTTATCTTTGGAAACTGTTGACTAGCATGGTAAAATATTATAGTAAGTATAATTAAAAAGATAGTTCAAAGCCAGCCTGGGTAATAAAGATTGTGGGACTCTTACCCTCAATAAACCAGCAAAATAGTGGAAACAGAGGTGTAGCTCAAGTAGTAGCCTTAAGCAAAAAAGTCATCCGTGCTCAGGCTCTGAGTTCAAGCCACAGTATGAGTGTGCGCACACAATACTAGAATAGTGCCAGGTGCTGGTGGCTGATGCCTGAAATCTTAGCTACTTGGGAAGCTGAGATAGGAAGGTCTAAAGTTCAAGGCTAGTCTGAACAACAACGAAGAAGATAGTCGATGAGACCCCCCTCCTTGACCAATAGCTGAACATGGTACAGCACACCTGTCATCCTAGCTTTGTAAGGAGAATGAATAGGTGGATCGTGGTCCAGATGGGCAGCTGGGCAGGAAGTGAAATCCCATTGACTGATTATGTGTACTGTACCACACCTCCCCTGGGCACCATCTTGCTTCTTGGATGCTGATGTCACTGGAGAGGGTCACACAGGGGCCACAGGCTCGGAATGTGAGCTAGAAAGTAGTCTAGCCAGGGAATGGCGGTGGGTCGCTTCCTGCAACACTGACCACAGTGAAGGACAGCCGTGATGAGCCTCGGCTGGCTGGGGTGAAGAGTCAAAGGAGAGTGAGAAGTTTACCAGTTGGAATCAGCGATCAGTTAGATGTGGTATTGCCTGGCACTGGTAGATGCTGAGCCATAGGTACACAAACACACACACACACTCACTCATGTTTCCAAAATAGTAAAACAATTTTCTTGAGACTTACAAGTCTTGGACTTACAAGTGAATGATAGGTTCTCTTGGTGGCTCTCATTCACATTTCTTTAATCCTGAGCTCTACTGAGTTGTGTTGAAAGACCACGGGGTGTGATACTGAGATATTTTCCAGCTGTTGCTTTTGCTACCAGCTCTTCTCTTGCTCCAACTGGCTCATTCTCTTTCTCTGGATTTCCAAGAGGTCTGAAAAAATACAGAAATTAGATCGATTATGTAGATGAACATTCTATAAAACTGTCTGTCTAGAATGCATACTACAAATATATATATTTTTTTCCAATCAGCTATTTTCTTTTTATTTCAGTGATGGGTATTTTCCCTTTGTAGAGGCTTTTTTTTTTTTTAAAGGCAGTCTAACTTTTGAGTCTCTTCCTTTGGGGTGTTTGTCTCATCCCTAGAAAGGCTGTTTTGGTGCCAAGATCATTTTTATTTCCTCTCCTCACATTTTCCTGAGTGCTGGAGTCACACTTGAATCCAGGCTCCGTGGCTGACTGTTGCGTTGGTGATTTGCTGTCGTCTGCCCCAGATTCCTCCAGCCCCAGTGAGAAATCACATTGTGGGGTAATTATGCAGCCCGAGAGAGATGATTGAAACACAGCTATGCGCTTATTTGTGTCTGGGGTTTACAGTACCTGGCCACGAGCATGGCTGATGCCTTCTTCAAATCCAGGCCATGTGGACTCCCAAGTGAGTTTTTCCAGAAAAGGTCTCTTTCATTCCACACACGCTCAGTCCACCGTTAAGATGGCCCCATGACAAGACCAGGTAGGGTGGCTCACACCCATTAATCCCACTACTTTTTTTTTCGGGGGGGAGGGGGGTCCGGTCGTGGGGCCTGAATTCTGAGCCTGGGCGCTGTCCCTCAGCTCTTCAGCTCAAGGCTAGCACTCTACCATTTAAGCCACAGCGCCACTTCCGGCTTTTTTCATTTTTGCTTATGTGGTGCTGAGGAATCGAACCCAGGGCCTCAGGCATGCAAGGCAAGCGCTCTACCACTGAGCCACCTTCCCAGCCCAATCCCACTACTTTTGAGGAAGAGATAGGATGGTTGTAGTTTGCCAAGAATCCAGACCTGGGCAAAAAAAGATACTGAGGTCCTATCCCAAAATCAAAACAAAATTCACACAAACAGGTGTAGGAGACCACATCGGTCATCCCAACCATGCAGGAGGACTGTGGGCTGAGGCCAGGCCCAGGCAAAAGTGTGAGACCCTATCTGAAAAGTCATTAAAGCAAAAAGAGTTGGAGGGCCTGGTTCGAGCGGTAGAGCACAAGGCCCTTAGTTCAGTTCTGTATTGCAAGGGGTGGGGGGAGAGAGCGCTGACCTCGGTGGGTGTATCACACAGTAGGACCAAATGCCACAAAGCACAGGATGTGGGGGTCGAATGGGCTTCAGCAAGTTTGTAGCAAGCTACCAGCACCACCCACCCTACTATCTTTTCTCTTTGTGAATTAATTACCTCGGGCTGAGACCTGATGTAAGAACCATGATTGGCTGTGGTGAGAGATGGGAGGGGCGTCTACACAATGAGCTCTGTTGGTGTTTTCTGCAGAGCTGTGCAGACAAGACAGGGTGACACTTAAAGCCATTACAGGTTAAGAGAAGTTCAGCCATTTGCTAGCGTCTGGAAACAAGCAATCGAAACTTCCTCTCTGACCTGCGGGGAAATGACAGAGTAGAGAGGGCTGTGTTCTCTAAGCAAGGAAGTTCCATGGGGCTTTAACTCAGAGCTTCCTGTTCTTGCTTAGTTTTTATTGTTCTTGTTTTCGCCAGGCTGGCGCTCTACTACTTGAGCCACACCTCCCTTTCTGGCTTTTTTGCTGATTAATTAGAGAAGACACTCATGGCATTTGTCTGTGTGGGCTGATTTCAAACCTCGATCTTTAGCTCTCAGCTTCCTGAGTAGCTAGGATGACAGATGTGAGCCACCAGTGCAAGGGGTGACATTGTCCACAAAGAAACGCCCTCTTTCCCTGAATTATGTCACTGTCACCCTCTGTACATTACCTTTATAATAACAATTCTATTTTATTTTTCTCGTTGGTTGTGGGGCTTGAACTCTGGGCCTGGGCACTGTCCCTTAGCTCTCAAGACCAGTGCTCTACCACAGCGCCACTTGTGGTTTTCTGGTGATTAATTGGAGTTAGTGAGAGTCTCATAGACTTTCTTGCCAGGGCTGGCTTTGAACCACGATCCTCAGATCTCAGCCTCCTGACTAGCTAGGATTACAGGTGTGAGCCACTAGCACCAGCCCCAATTTTAATTTAAGAAAGAGAGAGAGAGACAGAGAGAGAGAAGAAAGAAAGATAACAAAATAGGCTCCTCTCCAGGTGAGCAAAGAGGGAGACTCACCAGGTGACTGGGTTGGAGGGATGTGGAGGCCTTGCTGGGTCCTGACCCCCGCGGTGGGGGAGCTCTGTCTGACCCGGCCTTGTGTCTCTTCCCCGGCAGGAGCCTGATGCCCAGGACCCTGGAGACTCAGATCACCCTGGAGAAGACACCCAGCTACTTTGTCACCCAAGAAGCCCCACGGCGGATCTTCAACATGTCCCGGGACACCAAGCTGATCGTGGTGGTCCGGAACCCGGTGACCAGGGCCATCTCCGATTACACGCAGACGCTGTCCAAGAAGCCGGACATCCCCACCTTCGAGGGTCTGTCCTTCCGCAACCGCAGCCTGGGCCTGGTGGACGTGTCGTGGAACGCCATCCGCATCGGCATGTACGCCCTGCACCTGGAGAGCTGGCTGCGGTACTTCCCCCTGGCCCAGATCCACTTCGTCAGCGGGGAGCGCCTCATCACCGACCCGGCGGGGGAGATGGGGCGCGTGCAGGATTTCCTGGGCATCAAACGCTTCATCACCGACAAGCATTTCTATTTCAACAAGACCAAAGGATTCCCTTGCTTGAAAAAACCAGAATCGAGCGTCTCGCCTCGGTGCCTAGGCAAATCAAAAGGCAGAACTCATGTCCAGATTGACCCCGAGGTGATAGACCAGCTCCGGGAATTTTATAGACCTTATAATATTAAATTTTATGAAACCGTGGGGCAGGATTTCCGATGGGAATAAGCCACTTTTCCAATGCCAGGGTGCGTGCGCGCCTTCCTCCCGATGTCCTTCCCGAGCCTCTGATCCCTGTCTGCCAGGAACATTCCTAGCTCCCCTACCTGGGTCCCCTGGAAGGGGGGGTCATCTTGAAATGAGAGAGCCCCACAGAGGCCAAGAGACCCCTGGTTGAGGGGGCCGGGAAGGCCGCCTGCCACTGGCTCTCACCAAACAAAGGCAATCTGCCTCTGGTATGTCCATTCAGGTTCAGAGTCTTCCTCCCTCTTTCCATGAAAGGCCTTGGGGGACACTGCTGGGACAGGGGTGGCTCTTTCCGATGGTGACAGGTATCTGTAAGTGGTGGCCGTTCTGCATGGCTCTGTGGCTCTGGGCACAGCGACCTGTGCCATCCATCCATCCATCCAGGAGTGGGCTCATGGTTGCAGGTGGCATGCACCTTCCTTGGGAGCCTCAGCATCCCCAGCAGCCCCCAGCGGGCAGTGGGGTGGGAGAGCTGCAAAAGCAGGGCTGAGGATGGGCAGGGCCGGGGGGCACTGCTGGGAGGAACCAGCGGCCGGATTCTAAGGCCACACGCTCACCTGTGCTTGGAGGAGGAGGCCCACGCGTGACTGTTCCCATCCCCCACGGACTCAAAAGCACATAACTCTCCTGTTACGGGTAACTTCCTCACACGAGCTTCGTGTTCAGCATGCACAGAATCATGCTTGTCCCTGTGAAATAAAGACGGCACTCTGTGTCCTTCATGTTGTTGATTCTCAAAGCCAGGCCTGCAGCACAGAGCGCATGCATGCATTCACGCATTCATTCATGCATTCATTCATTCTTCCCAGTACATGGGGCAACTGACACCAGGGAAGGTGGGGAGGGCCGGGGAGGGGGGGGTGCACAGAGGATCAGGGCTGAGGTGCAGGGGGAGGGCCCGCTGGAAGAGCATGGTGCAGAAGGGTCACGTGACACTGCAAGGGAGGTCATGTGGTACTGCAAGGAGGTCACGGGGCACAGCACAGGCGATCTAGGCGCTTTGAATTGGAAATTGCAAACCCAAGAGCCGAGAGCTGGAGAGACATCAGATATCTTGATACATGGCCAGCATAATGTTCTAAAATATCTACCAACGGTTACAAAACTGGAAGCATTTATAGAAAACTATGCATTTTTACTGTCTCCTTAAAAACAAACGAGAGGAAAAGGAAGTCTGGCTTCCTGGACCCTGCCCACTAGGGTTCCACGTGGCTGCCATCGGTGGACAGGGGCTGTCCACGCCCCCAGGCCCCCTCCCCAGTGAGCCTCACCTGGAGACAGAATCTGAGTTCCCAACCTTGCCTTGAGTCTGTCCCAGAAGATCAGGGTAGTCTCCAGACCCCCCAGCATGGAGCCTGTGGGGACCCCCAACTTCGTTTCTGCTCCTCTCCTGCCCCTTCCTATTCCCCAGCTCCTGCCTCACCTGTGATCTCCTTTCTTGGCCTTTCCGGGCCTCCACCCCTCCCTCCCCTTTGCCTTGGAGTGCCCTTCCCCCACCCATGACTCCACATGCCTGCTTGGAATCTGTGAGACTGCTCCCGCCACCCCGACCTCTGCCCTCCTGTCCTGTCCGTGTGTGTTCACATCACCCAGTCACAGCTCTTACTGTGTTATCGCAGTTACTGAAGTGCAATTGTGTGTGGAAAAATCTCCACCGCAATCCATGAAGTTCAGGATCGAGACTGTACCACACTGACCTGAAGGAGGAATACAGGTGCTGCGGGTGCATGCCTGTAATCCAAGCTACTCAAAAGACTGAGATTCAGAGGATCTCAGTTCACTGTCCCAGCCTAGTCAGAAAAACCATGAGACTCCATCTCCAAAATTTTTTGCTGGCGCAAAAAGCTGGGCTAACGGTATGGCTCAAGCTCAAGTGGTAGAGCTCCAGTCTTGAACAACAACAAAAAGCCAATCAAGAAGGAGAGAGGCCCTGAGTTCCAGCCCCAGTACTGACACTCACGCATGCACACACACACACACACACACACACACACACACAAGAATTCATCCTGATTCATTCCCCACTCAAACGTATTTGGTGTCCTGGAATCTCGCAAGTGTAACCTGGTGGTCAATGGGGCCAGAATCACATGGAGACACAAAGCTGTCACCCCAGCCAGCCACCGAAACAGCCAGCGGCATATGCTTGTTTACAGTGACTGTAAAGACTTCATAGAACAGATGAAAATTATGAATTCCATGCACCTAAATCCAGCCTTAATCCTTGCGGTTACATGAATCCTCTAACTGCACCGACTGAATGACCTCTCAGCCTTCATGAATAGGCATGAGTCTGCTGTAATTAGCATATCAATCATTGTATGCAAATGAGAGGTGCTCTAGTACCTTAGAAACCCAAGTGGAAATGAGGGAAATCTGGAGAACATGAATCTGCTGAGAAGGCTCTGATTTTAAATCCAGGGCAAATGTCCCTGAACACTGAGTCTGCCGCAGGGCAAACTGGCAGTTTCCAAATTAGTGTAGTTTAAGCAGATGAAATTTGACTATTCGGGGTGAGACCAAAAAGGTTCCTCAGGGCATGTGTGTGTGTGTGTGTGTGTGTGTGACACCATCTCTGTCTGGAGTGCTCAAAACTCCCAGCAATGCCACACAAATGTGCAACTCTGTCACTAATAGCTCAGAAGAAACCAAGAGGTTTGGGATGGGTGCACTAGAATGATTTGGGACAGCGATCCACCTATCTGCATTCCACTCAGCAAGGAAGGACTGAGAAGTAAATGAAGACCACCCAAAAGAGAGCTTGCTAGAGCAAGGAGACTTGGGTCTGGCAAAGGATCAAATGAGGGTGGAGGAGGAGAAGCAGTATAAGGAAAGAGCAGGTGCTGGTGGCTCATGCCTATCATCCTAGCTACTCAGGAGGCTGAGATCTGAGGATGGTGGTTCAAAGCCAACTTGGACAGAAAAATCCGTGAGATTCTAATCTTCAATTAACCAACAACAACGACAAAAAATACAGAAGTGGAGCTGTGGCTCAAGTGCTCAAGCACAAAAGCTTAGGGACAGCACTCAAGCCCTGAGTTCAAGCCCCAGAACCTGCAAAATAAAAAGGTTGAGGGTTGGAGCCATGGCTCCGTTGGTAGAGTTAGCCGGTGAGTGAAAGCAGCAAGGTACTGAGTTCAAGTTCCAGTCTTGGACCTAAAAAAAAAACAAAGAAAGAGAAAGTTTATTGTGGAGCTCAAGTGAGGATGTATTTGCCCAGCACACAGTAGGCTCTCAGTATGTGGCCTTTACTCTCGCTTCTCTGCTTTGTGGTAGTAATATCTGTCACACTGTCAGCTGAGGTCTGCAGCTGCTACAGAACCAAGCACACAGCACCTTGTCTCCAGTGGGTGCTTCAGTCTAAACTCTGGGCTCTAGTCTCTGACCACAGAAACCCAATGTCCATGGCCACCACGGAATAAGTCAGGTCCAGCGACCCGGGTACAATGGCCCAGAAGGATATGGGAGGTCTTGCTGTGCAACTTAGGTCAAGAAGAACTCACTAGACAAGATACTATACAAATGAGCAGTCAGTGGGGTTCCATTCACCCAGCGTGGACCTCCACCTATTGAATGCACAGGGGAACTGGACGGGAGTCCGGGTTGCACACTGTGTTCATCTCTGTTCCTGGCCCTTGTCCATGCAGCTCAGATCAGTGAGAACCCGAGGCACAGACACAATGACTTTATGATGCATTGGGCTTGGGGGACAGGAAAGGCGATCCTAGAGAAAGCTGGGACAGGAGCCAGGGAGAGCTGCCTCTTTAAAGGGATGAAAAGGAAGAATGTTTATACCTGTCTAGGTACGTGTCGATCAAATTATAGAGACTGGGCTAAATCCTGGGTCCATCTGCAATGCTTTCCAGTCCACATTCTTTTTCCAGTCTAGCGTGAACCCCACACACCTCCCTGTACTAGGAGCAGAGATAGACTTTCTCTTTTTGATTACTATTTTATTGTGATAGTAAAGGTGATATACAGAGGAATTGTCCATTTCCTAAGTCAGGTAATGAGTACCTTCGATTCTTTGTGGACAATGTCACCCCTTCCCTTCGCTCTCTCCCAGTTTTCCCCTTTCCCTCCCCACCCACAAGTCGTATAGTTCATTTTCCATAGTGGCTAGGGAGTACCACGGCTGCATTTATTCACCCTGTATCCCTCCATTTCTGTGTCCCACCTACCCTCCCAAAGATAGATAATTACAAAAAAGAATAATGAAAAAATCCTGTTATTTCTATTTCCTGGGGTTCATTTTGATAAATATCATTTTGTATGATCAGATGCACATAGGCATTAAGCCTTTGTGTTCCTCTCCGAAGAGTGTCCTCCTTTGGTCTCACTGTGTGTGAATGCTTACAGTCCTGCATAATTTATTATGTCCTGGTGTATTTTAGATCTAGCTTCTGCATATGAGAGAAAATCTGTGCTGTTTGTCTCTCTGAGCTTGGCTTACCTCACTTAACATGATTTGTTCTGGGTCCATCCATTTCCCCACAAATGGCATGGTATTATTCTTTCTAATGGCTGTGTAAAATTCCATGGTGGATAGAGACCACATTTTGTTTTGGATGCACTTATCTCTTATGGGGCATCTGGGCTGTTTCTGTGGCTAGGCAATTGTGGATAGTGCAGCAGTGAATGTGGATGTGCAAATTAGCATCTGCTTTCCCCAACTTACGTAGATGTGAATCATCCTGAGTCCAGCACCAGAGAGCTGACCAATCAATTTAGACCAAGAAACCAGTGCCCCAGTGGGGCTCCTTATGCTTTGACAATGAACTTGACCTATGATTTTTTTTTTAGCAGATAAGGAGTTCATGTGGCTTTTACCACTCGTGGGGAGGAGAGCAAAGACAGATATCCTCAAACACAAAAACTGTGTTCTGTGTCAGGCACTGGTGGCTCATGCCTGTAACCCCCAGTACTCTAGAGGCTGAGATCTGAGGATCGCAGTTCAAAGACAGCTCAGACCCTTGTCCCAT